AGGAGCTATGTTGCACAAGTCCTAAGTAGCCAGGGCCCATGTATGATTTCATTTGTAATACACGGAACTAGAAAGAAGACTTTAAATTAGAGATTTATGATAAGAGCAAGCAAGGGGCAGGGAGCAAGGCAACCGCGCGCCATTCCAGCGTCTGTCGTCAGTCCGCGTCTTTTCATTGTCGCGCGCCTTTCTCACGTCTGGCCCCACGGGAGAGGACGAGGCGCCTCTGGTGGTGGCACAGAGAGTGAGAGAGATACGGTGAGAGGAGAGAGGGGGGAGAGATACTTAGAGAGAAGGGGGAGAGATACTTAGAGAGAGGGGGGAGAGATAGAGAGAGAGAGTGGCTGGCACAGAGAGTGAGAGATACGGAGAGAGAGAGTGAGAGAGATACGGAGAGAGGGGGGAAGAGATATACGGAGAGAGAGAGAGAGAGAGAGAGAGAGAGAGAGAGAGAGAGTCTGGTACAGACTAGTGACCCGTAAGATAGAACCTCCTCCGCCCGCCTGGTATCACCAGTAACGTACGTTCATTCCCACACTTGAGATTGGAGCACACGCGGTCCCAGGACCCCTCCAGGGCTACGACCTCCTCCCTGCACAAAAGAACGTTGAAGAAGCCGCACTGCTCGTCCAGGGAGAACTGCTGGCCCAGGAGAGGTACAGTGTCAGGCAGGGTGCTCGTGGTGAAGTCCTTGCGCTTCACGCAGTCTTTGGTGTCGAGGGTCACGCCGAAAAACACGGCGGAGCAGAAGGAGAACTTGTATTGGTTCCCCTGGTCAGTCGAAGAGATGGAAGTGGTCAGTGTTTTTTACTGATTATTGATATACTGATTTATCACTTTATTGATTTATTGATTTATTGGTTGACTTATTTTAATTTTGTGGGTGTTCTACGCTCCCATCGACACAATTTAGATGATTAAAATGTAGTAGATAGTCGAGAGTCAAGCCGAAAAAGTAATGATAAGAGTAAACTCACCACAAAGTTTCTCATCCCACAGAGAGAGGCTGGAAGGCGCCACTGGTCGGTCCTGCTTCGATTCTTTCCATCTGTAGTTTCTGTCTATCCGTCTTGCTTCTTCCCCGCACTAAATGACCATTATTGTGTCAATGGGCTTCTTCTCTTTAGTCAAACTATTTCCCCAAAAAAGTA